AGTCAAAGTTAATCAAGACATGCTAAGAAAAACAAATCTATATAGCAAAATTAAATAAAGTTGGCCAGAGATTTACCAGAGGTATAGAATATTTTAAATAATAGAGCTATTCTCCATGGAGCTTTCCTTCCCCACCCCCAGCCCCCAATATAAAGCCGATCATAGTACAACTGGGAAAACATGACAAAATCAGAAAGCTTTAATGATGTCAGGAAACATTTTTCAGGCTGAAAATTATACTCTATGTAATGCAACTAGTCGAGAGGGGGTATAAAGCAAAAGCAATGAAAGCTTGCAGGAATCAATAAGGTGCCATGCTAAGGGAGACAGAACACAAAGAAAGAGGAGCTTTGATGGGCTAAACAATGATTCACTCCTGTACAAAGCAATCCGTTATGTTCCTGAAAGTGTACCTTTTGTTTCTGTCATTACACAAATTGCCCCCAAAATAGTTCATCAACAGTACAGTGTGTAGCACACACTGTATGTTAGCAATTCTCAAACTATGGTAGATGTACCAGAGGTGGTAGATTAGTTGATTTAAAGAATATCAGAGTAGAATCCTTTATAACTGCACCGATTAAAATTATGAAGGTGGCAGTTTCAGTACTTTTTAGTTTTATATGCAGTATTCTAGATGTGAGAACTGCTCTCTATGAAACATATACTTTGAACATACATTCAATAGGGTGCCGGTAGCTTATATTTGAAATATGTTTGATGTGTACTCAGGCTTTTGTCAAGCATCCCTTAAAACACTGAATTCTTGGGCAGTTAAACCATTCCACAGCAAACTCCACTTTAATCATAAGGGCATATTGTCCCCAGGCACATAGTTTCCACTGAAATTAATTGAAGCTTTGTTTGCAAATGAAAGTGAGAATCAATAGATCTTTGTCACCTTGCAAATTTCTGTTGAATTCAGTAAATTGTCATTTAAAGGGTAAACATTTCAAATGTTTCATTCAGATCTGATGCATACTTCAGTCATTATGATGTAAAATAAATGCATTTCACTGATTATTAACATGTGAGCTTCAACACAATGTGATTGGAAATGATTGCATTATGAAACCCTGACAAAACATGGCATATAATGGAAGCACTGACGGAACTGTCATTGCAGTTGTTACTGTAATCTCTGCTGTGCGGGAAATTTATGACTGTATTTCCAAAGCATTGCCTTGGAATTACAGGGACAGATCCTAAGGTGATGCAGTTGACTTCAGTGGAGTTACACTGGTACTCATCAGCTGAGGGTCTAGCCCATAGAGCTGTTAAGGACCTAATATTACACCACTGAATTCAATGGGAGCTTTGCCATTGGCTTCAAAGGCCACAAGCTCAGCTCCTTTGGGCTCTTAGTCATATGGCTAAATTCCCATGTTTGGGGCCTTTCAAAATGTACCGCTTGGCATCTGTTACTTTGATTTGAATTAGAGGTTGTTCACAGTGATATATCAGATTACATTTTTGGACTTGCTCCTGGTCCACGTATCATTGCAGCTTGTGCTTTGGATATTATTGATTTTCTTTTGGTCAGGCTGAAGGCTTTCTACATATTTCCTGATGATACCAGAGTGTCACTTCTGGATGGTGGTTTTCTTTGGAGAGCAAATAAACTACAAGAAAATACCCTGTAGGGAATGATTCTGGACTAGTCCTTGGGAGATGGACTAGATTATGGTTCTGAGCCCAGGAGTCATGACCCCCTTGCCCTTCCCCTACTGCTAAATGCGGGGCTGGTCCCAGGATGGCAAAGGTTGAGAACCCATGGACTAGATGATCTAATAAGGCTTTCCCAGCTTTTATTTATATGACTCTAGAATTATTTCCTTTGTGTTTCATCTGCTCTGCAAGGATTTTGAGTATGACATCATTTGTAACTTGGTCAGTGAGATCACCAAGAGTCCAAATGGTGTTATCTCTTGATATCTTAATTTCATTTAGCTTTAGTACTGCAATACTAGTGAATCCATTGAGCTGAAATCTTCCATCAGGTGTATTTTACCTGCGTTTTGTTTGTAGGCATCGTGTTGTTGCCTTTGTATTTTATAATGTAGAAAGACTCTTTGGAGTACACCTCTTTGTCATGTAAACTGCGTATGCTTTATTCTAACAGTAGTTGCTAACCAGAATACAAATGCCAATCAGCATTTTGTTCAGTTATTACCATTGTTATTGTCTCAGAAAAGCAGGAAGATGATATCTTCTGAGTTTACAAATCAGAAAACGTATACACAATATCTTATAAAAGCATAGAATAAGTGAGTGATTATCGGTCAACACCCAGTACATGCGTCTCAAAATGTACTTGGTAAAAGAGTTTCAGAAAATTGCAACTAACCCTGAGAAAACAGTACAAAAGGGTTCTATTCTTTAAAGAAGATGACCAGTTTTTCCTTGTGTAAAAGTAGCGTAAATGACATTTATTCTCTTCTGATATCTAGTCTGTATCTCCACTGGCTTCAGACTCATGCTCAGGACTTTAGCACTTGTTTCATCCAATAGAAGGAGACAGACTTTCAGGAGATGTGCCCTCACTTACGCGAAGTTACAGGAGTAGAATTACATGCCCATGGTGGTAATAGATACTCCTTCAGTGGCCAGTGCTTATTTAGGCAATGAACAGTGCTATTAGATGCTTCACAAGTTCTACAGAAGATCCACCAGGACAGAGCTTGTGTCATACTGATTGTGCCCATCTGGCCAAGACAGTTCTGGTTTACGGATCTGCTGAAGCTCTCAGTTCACCCTCCTATGAACATCCCCACATTACCAGACCTTCTAACACAGCACAGGGCAGGTTCAAGCACCCCAGTCTGCAACTCAGGGCTTGATATTTGGATGGACATCAGAAATAGAGCACTCATGTTCTAAAAGGGTACAATCCAGCCTTAACCAAAGCAGAAAAGGTTCTATAAGAAGCAGTTACTCAGCAAAATGGAAGTGTTTCTCCTCTTGGATTCACCAACGAAACTCGTCTCCAGAATCAGCTGGGATCCCTGCTAACTTAGAATCTTTACTTACCCTTAAGTTTTCAGGTCTTGCACTCAGTTCTCTGTGAGTGCATCTAGCAGTGATCAGTGCTTTCCATCCTCCGATGGATAACTGTACCGTCTTCACTCATCCTGTCACAACTAGATTTCTGAATGGGATTCTCAGGTCCTTTCCACCATTGGTGAAGTTCACGCCTTAGTGTGACCTTAATTTTATTTTATCAGCGCTCACACCACACCCCTTGGAACCTCTAGCTACATACTCTATGGTCCATCTGTCCATGAGGGTGGCTTTTCTAGTACCCATAATGTCATCCCAGAAGAATCAGCAAGCTGGGAGCGCTCATGGTAGATCCATCATATACTGCATTCTATACAGAAAAGGTCTTGTTACGACCCCATCCTAGCTTTGTTCCTAAAGTAGTTTCCAAGTTTCTTATGAGTCAGTTAATTCACTTACCGGTATTTTTTCCAAAACCCCATGCCACAAATGAAGAGAGATAGCTCCATTCTCTGAACATCCAAAGGGCTTTGCTGTATGTCTGCAAAGAACAAAGTATGTTAGAAAAACGTAAACTATTTGTTTCCCTAGCAAAGCGATCAAGGGGTCAAGTTATATTGATGCAGACAGTTTCAAAATGGATTTCGGGTTGTATTACCCTTTGTTATCAGCTAGCTCAAATTCCCCCTCAGAAGCAGGGTGAGAGCTCATTCCACTAGAGAGCAAGCTATTTCGGCTGCATCTCTGAGAGATGTTCCCCTTCTAGAGATATGTAGGGCAGTTACTTGGAGCTCTTTGAATACCTTCATGAGACATTATGCTCTGGTCCTGTCATCAGCTGCAGATATAGCAGCGGGAACAGCAGTACTACCAGCTATCACTTCTGCATCCTCACACCCACTCCCCATCTGACTACTGCTTGTTAATCTCCCACGAGTGAAATACACATAGACATCAACACTTGAAGAAGAAATGGAGGTTACTTACCTGTAACTGGAAGTTCTTTCAGACGTATGGTCCCTAACAGTATTCTCTATCCCCTCTGCTGCAGATTATTTGAACTACGATAAGAATGGGAACTGGAGAGGCGTTGGCCCACACCACCTTTTGTGCCCTTGGTTCAGATATAATGAGGAGAGCTGTGGTGCATTTGTGGGCCAACAGACATTGCTTATAAAATATTCCAGACTCAGGCGCATGGTGGGCATGCGTATAACATGTATGGAATACAGATAGGGATTGTGCATTTCGAAGAACTTCCAGTTACAGATAAGTAACCTCCATTTATCAAAATTAAAGAGCAAAGATGGTAATAAATTCAGATGCGTATAAGCTGGTATCAGTCAAGCTTTAGTGAAGGTGAAACAGCTCCGACCACCCAGGATTTCTACCTGAATCCAAACTTAAGTTTACATTCCCTTGACTTTCCTATTTTTTCTTCTGACTAACTCTGTTCATTGTTTGCCAAAATAGGAAGAGGATGGTGGTTGAGTTCTTCACTCACCTGCACACAGGTTGAGATTTTGTGTGAAAATAGCTTTTGTTTTGCTCTTCACTTAGGCCCCAATCCTGCAAACACTGGTGCATGTGCTCAACTTAATGGGCATGTGAGTAGTCCTACAGATCTCAATGGGTGTATTCATGCATGTTCATAATGGTTTGCAAGGATCAGGGCCATAGTGAGAGAGAACTTGAAATGGGCATGAGTAGTGAACTGTCCTCTTGCAGCACTCGTAGTTCCTTTACATTGGGTTTTAGCCATTTTTGTGTGGCTGCATGTGACAGTTTGCATTATTAGTGTCTTTGCCGTTCCTGGTCTCTGTATAAACTGACAACTTTGATTTCTAGTGACATCAATCGGCACCTCTCAGTCATGCTAACAGAACAGATTTTAAAATAATTTACTTAAAAATCCAAGATTAATGATCTTTTCCATCTGCTGTCATTCATGTCTCTCTGCTCAGCAGTGTTGTTAAGCAGTTCATTTCTTGTTGTTGCAGTGATCACTGATGGGGCGCTGGATAAGACAGCTCTTGCAGATGACGTGGGAAGCGAGGAGGATCTGTATGAGGACTTTCGGAGTTCCAATCACCGCTATGGCCATCCTGGAGGAGGAGGAGAACAACTTGCCATCAATGAGGTATTGCAACTGTAGGCCTGTGAAGAAGCAGAAAGGAGGCTGCTTTTGGTTTTTGGTAGTGAGGCATCACCATTGCAATAGGGTCCTGGATAAATGAGTACAGCTCAGTATTCACTTGCTGCGGTCACCATTTTAATTGCATTATCATCCCAAACTCACATTGGGGTTTTCCATAGAGCTGCTGGCTCCAGCATCGAAGGAATGCTGATGTGATATAAAATGGAACTGCAGCTCCCTACACTGTAGGTAACTTCAGTTAGGAGTTCCTCTCTTCTCGTGTGTTTTTAGGCAGAAAGGGAATATACAGACATGAGTGAGCAGCACAGGCTGGAATACTTTCAGGGGTGGTATGATCTGAAGTCCGGTAAGCATTTTTACGTAGTGGGGCTAGAATGATGATTTTGAAGCCCTTGGAAGGATTGTTCTGAACACGTGTTCAAACCTTTCACCTTGAATGCAAGCTTATGTCCAAACAAGTAGCACATTAGTGAATGGGAATGGTTTTGGCAAACGGTTCTTGTAATGCTGACATCAGTTTAATTGCTTGTCTCAAATTAGAACGTGTTCCATAGTCTAACTTGTGTGATGAGTATTAGTCAACACACAGGATCTGTCTGTCTGCAAAAGTACAATGCCCTTGTCTAGTGCATTAAAATAGGAATCCTGCTATGCAGTATTACACAATATATAGAATGCTCTTTCCTTTGGGTGAATTAATAAACATTTCATTGGAAGAGCTGAGGACATGCTCCCTATGAACTATAATACGGACTGCTGTACTGAGTGTGCTGTATGCTCTGCTATCTTTTTGTGACCTGCACAAGATGGAGGGGCACCGATAAAAGATGTATTATGCTTTCTTAGGGGTCAGCTATGGCTGGAATGGTGGTGGCTACACCTTATGCCTGTGTCAGAGGCAGCCATAAAGCTTCTAGGAGCTGTATGAGGTAAAGACTTAGAAACAACAGGTACAACACCGTTTAAAAACAGTACAACATATACTCCTTCCAGTACCAGTCTTCCTGCTCTATTGGGAAAGTGAAAGCCTTAGAGCTGCTCTAATTTCCACTCTGCTTCCCACAACCCCTGGGCATGATAGGGAGCAGAGAATAATTGGAATACAGCATGCTTCAGCTACACTGCTACAATGGGGATGGGAGCAGGCCCATCATAGGGTCTCCGTCATAGTTCTATACCGGTGAGGAGGCTCCTAATGAAAGCAGCTTATGAGGGGCTGTTTCCACCCACTTTACAGCCTCTTCATGCCACCACAGCAGCATAGAACTAAGAATTCATCCCATTACTGTTTTTCCCCTTATTATCAGCAAGTAAACAGAAAGAATCTAGAAGAACACCAACGCATCTAATGCTGTGATACAGATGGGAAAACTGGTAGGATAAAACAAGATTTGCCACAAAACTATTCTCTTGCTCAGTTTCCTGTGCTGTTACATCCACTTCACTTTGTAATGAAAGGGAATTGGAAGTGACATGGTACATATGACAGCACTAGGAATGCATTCGCCCACATTTAGCTGGTACCTGAGGTGTGTTTGGCCAGTAGCCTCTGATATGTTTAGCAGCACGGGAAATGTATTCCACAGCATGTACTGGATACATTTCGAGCTATGGAAGGTGTTTACTGCATTTCCTGATTTTTCAAGTGCTTGAGTGTGCAACCTAAACATTCTTTTAACATAGTTTTTGTATGTAACTTCCTAGATCTTGGGGAGAGGGGGAGGTTAAAGAAAAAGGATACAATATAATATTGTAGGAATTACAGATATCCTTAAAGAAATCTTTATACCTTGTGATGAATTCTGAAAAATATTTTGTTTCACTTGGAAATGGTTCTGTTTCTATATCAGATATTCTCTGTATTTAATTTTCCTCATTCTTTTTACTGAGAACAAGAGCTTTTTTTCTAAAGAGTTCATTGTCTTTGTTAACTGCTTATCCATCATGTAACTTTGATTTGTCCAGAGCAGTTGTAACATGCGAAGTTCTTGAAGCATATCTGGATCTGTTGGCATTTCAGATCCATAGACTTATCAGGTCAACCAGTCAACATTGATTATTTGTTTATTGGCCTGTGCCCTGTAAGCTTGTGTATTACAACTTGTTTTTTGGCCCAATAACAGGTAGCACATTATTGTCCACTGGTTCCGATGGATAATGAGTCCATCATTTAGCATCAATTAGCATTAGCAAAGTGCCTCTCTGCATGATGGCCTTCTGGAATGGCACAGTATGATAGAATACTAATTTCGAATGCAGGGATTTTAAATGGACAAATACCGTAAAATTTAGAATGGACATTTCTAACATAAACCTTCCCGATTCCCAGCCATCTTGATGAACTTCAGTGGTGCATCAAAGCTCATAGCCTCTATAAAATAAAAACATTTCTAGGCAGAATCTTCTCTGAAGGTTTTCAGTAATAGCCTTGGGGGAACTGCAAGTGAAGAAGCTAAAATATAATCATTTAATAAACTTTTCCAAGCTGTCTTTTCCCTGCTTTATTGAATCTCCATTGGTATTTCATTGGTCTAGAGGAAGGAAACCATGCCAATTTCCTTGCAGATATCCTCATTTTTAGCTATCTTTAAATAAACAGAGAAAGATTTAAATGTATTTTTAAACATTTGGCAGACCCAACATTCCTTATTTTTAACTTCAGTTTTTATCAGTTTGGGATCAGTAGACAATGGTTGTGGAATGACAATGAAGCCTTTCATGGAAGAAGAATAACTTATTGACAAAGGGGTTTAAGGGATAGAAGAAAAGGGGAAAGGCTTACAGAGCCCACCTAGGAAGAACTGCTCAAGGATGTGTAGGAGCCAAGAAAGAAATCAATCAAAAAGTAATAATAGAGGATGGGTCTGGAATTATATGAACCAATTCTTAAGAAAAGAAAAGGGGGAAAATATCTTTCTTGGAGGCCCTGTCAAAGCTTTTTCATGAGCAGAGAGAATGTATTTAAAAGAGATTTTTGGTTGAGATTATATTTTTGTTTGGTTTAGTTTGGGGAGTTCCAGGCAACAGATCCACACATATCCAAAGTATGATCAGCTGAAAAATATGACAGGGGGAAGCTGTATTACTAATGCTGTGTAGTTTTTTAGTCCTCCCATATGGAAACATAATATATTGGACACATGTAGCTATAAATTACATGAAATGTGAGGCATATCCATTTAATTTAAGCACTGTAAAATTATCTAGAACCTTGACTGGTTTAGGCACAAAATCTACTTACTCACCCGTACCATGACAATAGTGAAGAAAACAATAATACTTTATTTGCTCATCAAATAAAATTAATCAAACTGGGCAAATAGACTTAGGCATGACTGATTTAGAACATATCAGATCTTAGACAAAGGTCTCATTCCTACTCTCTGCTGTGGGGAGCATGTTTCTGCATAAATTGGAAAATTCTCTATTGTACCTGAGCATATCTTTGTTGTTTACTAGATGATTTTTCCAAGATCAACAGCATTGATCGGTTGGGTATAGAGGAAGGAATCAAGCCTCTGGAAATTATCTTTTAATGCAATGACTAAACTGGTCATTTTTTTCTATTTATTTATGTCAGTGCACTTAATACATTTGTATGACATCCTGGTCCCATTAAAGTCAATGATAAATCTAATACGTATTACGTAACAGTCAAACTGGGGAGAGGTATCTAGTGGGGTCTTGCAGGGAATCTATCCTAGGTCCAGTACTAGTCAATATTTTTATTAATGACTTGGATAATAGAGTAGACTATGCTTGTAAAAATTGCATACCGCACCAAGCTGGGAGGGGTTGCTAGCACTTTGGAGGACAGCATTAGAATTCAAAACTACCTTGACAAATTGGAGAATTGGTCTGTAATCAACAAGATTTAAGTCAATGTAGACATATGCAAAGTACTTCAGTTAAGAAGAAAAATATCATCTGTACAATTACAAAATGGGGAATAACTGGCTAGGCAGCAGTAATGCTGAACAGGGGTTATAGTTTGTATTATAGTAACAGAAGTGTCATGTGTAAGAAATGGAAGGTAATTGTCCAGCGCTACTCAGCATTGGTGAGGTCTCAGTTGGAGCACTGTGTCCAGTTCTGGGCGTCACACTTTAAGAAAGATGTGGACAAATTGGAAAGAGTCCACAGGAGAGCAACAAAGATGGGGGGGGAAAAGGTTTTGGAAACCTGACCTATGAGGAAAGGTTTAGTCTTGTGCAAAGAAGACTGAGGGTGGACCTTCAAATATTTAAGGGCCATTACAAAGAGGATGGTGATCAATTGTTCTGCATGTCCACTGAAGGTAGGATAATAGGCTTAATCTGAAGCAGAAACTTCCTAAGTGTAAGCGTAGTTAAATTTTGGAATAGGCTTCCAAGGGACACTGTGGAATCCTAGTCACTGGAGGTGTTTAAGAACAGGTTAGACAGACACCTATCAGGGATGGTCTAGGTATACTTGGTCCTGCCTCAGCACTAGGGGATGGACTAGATGACCTCTTCAGGTCCATTCCAGCCCTACATTTCTATCATTCTGTGATCATGCCATATAGTTTAGATCAGTGATTCTCAACTGGGGGTCCATGGCCCATTGTGGGGCCACAAACTCTTTCAGGGGGTCTGCCAAGCAGAGCCACTTGGACCCCTGAGCCCTGGCACCCAGCAGCTGAAGCTTGGAGTCCCGAGTCCCAGCACCTCACAGAGCTGAAGCTCTGAGCCCAGGTGCCCCAAGCCCTAGCAGAAGCCACCCTGCAGGGCAGAATCCTGGAGCCCCCCAACCCATGGGGCTCCCAAGCACTACCCAGTGCTGTGGGGCAGAAGCCCCCCCCCCACTCGCAGCTGAAGCCCAAAGGCCTCCCTTGGGCCATGGAGTTTTTAGAGCATGTTGGGGGGGGTCCTCCAAAAGAAAAAGGTTGAGAACCCCTAGTTTAAATCACCAGTTTTGCAATATTTTGCATATGTTTTATTTGTTGTTTCATTGGCTTCAGT